GCTGACGTTCACCATTTCCAGGGTATTCACGGTGTTTATTCTTTGTCGCCACCTTGAATTTTTGCGAGCGAGAAGAAGGAATGGAACTTGGGTCAAATAGAACGCGTTCTTCACCAAATAAACCTTTCAGTCGACGCTTCCGAAATTTTTTGGTTTTTGGAAAAAGCCCTTAGAGAAATCGTCCCTTTAAATTAACTATTCCGACACAAACGAAGGTAAACACGTTGAAAACTGTAAAAAGTTGATTGTACTACGTTGCAAGACATAAACTAGCCTGCGTCGCAGACATAATTAGGGACCTTAAGATCCGACGACGGCGACTGCAACGGGAACACCACAAAAGCAATAGGTTTGATAACCAAAACGACAATTTTGCACGTGCATCACGCTTTTTTGTACATTTCTTTCCGTCATTGCACGACTACGACGTGAAAATGCCTAATTTCACGTTGTACAGAGGAAGTACACTAGCGACGAGGAAATTTCCTCTCTCTTTCTGAATTTGGATACGGTTCTTAGGAATTCAACTGGGTTCGCCTACATTTGACAAAGTTAGTGACTTGGAGTAACCGCAATGAAGATTGAAAGGAAGCGAATTCACTTTTTCAGCGACGTTTTCTCTGCCGTCGCCGTCCTCGGATCTTGACGTCCCTAATTTAACCTCGGGAAGTAACGTCTGCGAAGCAGCGTCGATATCCTTGTTCTGTTGCCCCAACGGACTCAACGAATTACCGAAAGTGCGTTTCGAATTTCCTTTAATCTTGATTGGCTAATGGACAATGACATTTTTTAATAGGGTAATCATGGCGCGTACTCAAACCACTGGTACACAGGTGGTGATCCAGAACAAGGATTCGGCGCTGTTTCGCTGACGGGCTTAATCAGAGTGAGGTTTCGGGTTGTAGCCGTTAACAGCTGTTTTGCCATTATTGTGACCAAGCCAAGTTCAGTTGCCCGGCGTATCATGTCGAAGGTTCGGTTTTTGAACTTTTAAAATAGAACGAAAGGGTTCGGTTGAGTTTGATTGAGTTCGTTCATCGAACGAAGTAGAACTCACAAAAGGGAAAGAGGAATGGAATCGCCAAACCCAGCTTTCCACTTCGAGACTATATTCATTCAGTTTATCTCTTTCTATACTTCACGAAGTAGACAAAAGACATTGAGAAATCACAGGAACTTTGCCTGCTTTTTTTCCTGTAACAATAACGTTTCTCTTTATTTTATTATTATTGTTTTTTCACTCTATTCCCTACCCCTGTCCCTTTTTTCCTGTGACGCCACAAGCAACCCAAGTGTAATATGAGAGTTTGTGGTAAAAATATTAAGACTTAAAATACTGAATAAAAAGAATAAATCGGGTAAAATTACTGAATAAAGTGAAAATGACGTTACTTGGTGTTCTTTTTTTGTCTTCCTGCGAAGCGGTTTAAGCACGATTTTGCCGGTCATCTGGAGGAACGTTAGTTTCCCTAACCGAAGCATTGGACAAAAATTGAACATCTGATACATTGTTTAATTTTTAACCATCACCGTTAATAACTATCTAGGACGTTCATACAGCACTAAACACCAAACAGCGTAGAATTGGTCTCCTTCTAGGGGAAACTTTCACACCCTATGAAACGTAACGCTATAATGAATTTTATTCTGAGTTTATTTTGTGTGAGGGTAGGGGCGGCTGTACCGAACTGCGGTCAAAACGACATTCTTCTGCCTTGGCCGAGTAGAGGCATCCAATTATTTTATTCCTAGGCCTCTGTATGTGTTAAGTACGTGCGCGTTGTTTAAATTGCTAAATATATTCAC